TAGGCCAGTCATGTGCCTCTAACTACTTTCCTTGAGTTTTCAGAGATTATATATAGCAAACTTATTCTCGCTGGATTTTTTTCAAGAAAAAAGTTGTTTACCTTGAGTTATGGAGCCATTTGTTTGCAAAAATAGTAATTAATGTGTGGGACAGAAAAAAAACCCAACCCAACCCTAGATTCAAACCAGAGATACACTAAAAATATGAGTTTTTAACTGAAAAACAGTGATTTCTTGAAATAAACTTCTTATGCAAATCTTTGCTTGAAATCCTGGTTTTATTCAAAACAGAAATTTAAACACAAAGAAAAGGACTGTCCTTAATGCTGTACCATGAAGTTAGCTTTCCTTACTACAGTATAATTCATATTTATTTATACTACAGAAAAGAGCTCTTGCTCTGCCTTTTTAATATAGAAAAAGGAAATCAAGAATTTTTTTCTTTCACTGAATTAAAAACTAGTAGAAGGAGGTGTGGGGATAGGATTTTTAACTATGGACATTACTGAATTCGGTTTTAATGAGCAGGTACTGTACCCGTAAGAAAGCACGCAGGCAGAAGATAAGGAAGAAAGGAATGAGCTGCTGGAAAGGAGTAAACAAGATAAGGACCGTGAAGTCATGCTGTATGGTCAGGAAGAGCAGACCTATCCGCTGGAGCATAGATGCGCGTGAACACAAGGCTGTAACCTATCTGCAGGCTGCGGATAGCGCGTGGACACTTCTGCTTGCTATAAATTACCCTAGAGCAATAAAGGTCTTTGGTTGCTGCTTGCCAGAGTCCGTGCCGTTAATCCCCGCAAGGAGGAAGCCTGTAGATAAGATCATCAAAAAAACAAAAAAGACAAAAGGCAGAAAAGCTTCTCTGCGAAGTTCACAAAATTACAAAAAAAATGGGGGAAAAAAAAAAAGTAACAGACTGAAAGGAAGAATCTGATGGGAATGTGAAAAGATGCCAGAAAGGAGTAAGAGGCAAATAAGAAGCATAGGAAGACAAACCACACACACTCACACAAAAGAAAAAAGAGGAAGGGGTTGGGAGTAAGGCACTAATTTTTACTTTTTTTTTTTAACTGAGTATATTTCTACTTTTGAATACTGAAACTGGTCCAGAGAAACTTGAATCAAGCAATTTTGATAGATATTTAAGTGCCCAGGCACCTGAACATTGAACTGGCTGCTGAAAACAGAAACGCTAATCAGAAAGTCAAATTGCATTTTGGAGAAGATGAGAAAATAAGCAAGGATGGAGACTGGACAAAGATGGAGATTGGCAGAGGAACTACAGTAGATAAGGGAGCATGAAAATGAGAGTAGGTAACCAAATAGCTAATGAAAATAGAGAATCTCTATCAAAAATGACACTTTGTGGAAGGAAGGCCACTGCCTGGCTTTAGACAGGTAGTGAGTCTCTCTACATGGTGAACACTTGGCTTCTGCTCTGGTTCTTTCTAAAGAAGCGGTCCATCTCCACTGACATTACACGCCATCTCATTTATTAATTTAGTCACCTAAATTAGCCACATCAGGTATGAGTACCCCCAACCCTGTCATTTTAACAGCGTTCCTACCCATGAGCCTTGCAAAGACAGTGGGATGTATCAGGGGTGTCAGGAAAGGCAGCATTGCCCCACCGAAGGAGGAACACATTGGAAATACAGCTTTCTTCAGGGAAAAGCAGAGGAGGAGAGGGAACACACAGAAAATGAGAGGCCTCATCTAAACTCAATGACATCAGTGAAAATTATCTTGGCAAATTTTTCAGCAGAATTTGGCCTTTTAAGAAATCTAATTCATTTGAAACTTAGCATTCAGATGGTAAAACTGAGAATATTGGAAAATATTTAGAGATAATATCTTACAATATTTTTCAGACAAATAAGCAGCTCGGCTGGAGACGAGAACTATGTGAGTGCTATATAATGCTGTGTCACTGGTAGAAATGACTGCAGGGCCAGCAGAGCTGACCCGTCAGAAAGAGCTTACTGTTTTGAATATCCCCCATGTGCAAGGAAGTTTTGTTGTTACATTGCACTTGTGGGTTAACACCCCCAAACCAGGACATTAAAAAGCATTTTTAACGAGCAAAGCTACCAGTTACATCCCTGGCTC